TCTCATTTCCACATAAGGAATCAGTCTCAAAGTTTTCAGCCTGGTATTAAATAGGATAATGCGGCACTCATTTGTCTTTGAGAAAAAAAAAAAACCCATATATATATATATATATATATATATATATATATATATCCATAAAAACTTCATATATTATATATTTAACCATATTATACATACACACACATTTGTGTATGTAAATATGCACACAAACTAAATCTGTTTAAATAGTGGGAGAAATTGTTAACACTTTACAGGAAAATATATTCTACAGTCAATAATTCTGCTGTATTCTGGATTTCTCTCCCAAGAGATGTGAGCAACCTGGGGGCACACTGCCCACCATGTCCCCGACCTTGAAGCCTACAGATTGTTATATCTACACACTGTAGAATGTGTAAGAACCTAAATGTCTGGGTATTTCAGAAACTTTTCACAGTACTTAAGAGAGAGCCTACAATATCCTCTGAATCACTTTAATAATGACCTCTGAAGTCATTTCCTTGAGTATTCTTCCACATCACTAACTTTTCATTACTTATTTCATTATTCTGATTCTCAGAGGCTTTTATAAAACCTAAAATGTCATTCATGGAAATAACATAAAAGAGCTAGCATTTGAATTCTCTTTTAAAGCAAAGAACAGAAGTGTATTTATACTGTGTGTACATTATCATAAATAAGAATCCTTCACTTGGTGAGTCTCATATTGCACAGGTATCTCAGAAAGCCCTTGAAAACTTAATTAATTCTGAAGCCAAAAGGAAAAATCCAATTGTGCTTAATAGATCTTATAATATTTTGCTCTCCCTTCACATTTGGGGTTTAATGGGCACAAGGTATTGATTTTTCCTACACTGTTTAAGTTGTTATCTTCCCTCCTGTTATCTTCAAAAAGAGGTGATATGAATTATGTGGATCTACAAAATCAACATTACTTAGAAAATAATATTTTGATGTTATTTTCATTTGTAAATATTAGAAAATAATATTTTATTTTAACAACTTTAGAACATGGTAATAGCACCATTAAATTTTCGAGATTTTAGATTGAAATAGTGGATACTGGTTTTAGAACTTGCTACAAAGTTCTATTTTTACATGTATGTATACATATTTAAGTACACCCCTATGGGGCAATACAGTAACTTAGAAATTTGCTTTATGGAAATTTAAAACACATTTTGCAATTGAAATAAAAGTTTAAATGGTTAGGTTTTTGACCAGGTGGCAAGCCTTGTCTGTACTGTAAAGAAGTTTAACTTGTTTTTTGTTTGTTTGTTTGTTTGTTTGTTTTACTTTGTTTTGTTATTTGGTAATGGCGATTGAACTCAGGGGCACTCAATCACTGAACCACATCCCCAAGTTCTACTTTGTATTTTATTTACAGACAGGGTCTCACTGAGTTGCTTAGCACCCACTCATGATCCTCCTGTCTCAGCCTCCTAAGCCACTGGGATTATGCAGAGTAACGCAGAGTAAGGGAAGGCTGTGGAAAGAAGAGGAAAGCTTTCTTTCCCTCTTCTGACCCAGGGCTCCTCTAATTTAACCTATAAAAATCAATAGGAAATATATTCCAATTAGGATTCAAATTAAGAATAGCCCAGGTCTATCTTGCTTACACACTGTAAGACTCTCTTAACCCTTAGGTTTCTCCTTCATAAATTGGTGACAGTCTTAGCTCCATGTGCTGTGGAAAACACCATGTGTCATCATGAACAAAAGCCCTCAGCCCAGTGCCCCTGCACAAAATCCAATAAATCACAGTTGTTGACTTTCTTCAGTTTGGTGGTCACCCTCCCAAACATTATTTCACTCCACCCTATTCTTTCTCTCCCACCCATCATCCCAATACCACAGTGCCTCACCACCACCCCACTCTCCCTACTAAGATCTGCTCCATTTATTGATTGGGTTATTTGTGGGTTTTTTTTTTTGGTGTTAAGATTTTTGAATTCTTTATATATCCTAGTGATTAGTGCTCTATCCAATGTGCAAGTGGCAAAAATTTGTTCCCAAATTGTAGGCTCTCTATTCACCTCACTGATTGATTATTTTGCTGAGAAGATGCTTTTTAGTTTGAATCCATCCCAATTTTTGATTCTTGATATTAATTATTGCACTATAGGAGTCTTATTAAGGAAGTTGCCGCCTAATCCAACATGATGGAGCTTTGGGCCTACTTTTTCTTCTAATAGATGCAGTATCTCTGGTTTAATTCCTAGATCATTAATCCACTTTGAGTTGAGTTTTCTACATGGTGAGAGATAGGGGTTTAATTTCATTTTGTTGCATATGGGTTTCCAGTTTTTACAGCACCATTTGCAGGTAAATGGATGGAGTTGGAGAATATAATGCTAAGTGAAGTTAGCCAGTCCCCCAAAACCAAATGCTGAATGTTTCCTCTGATTTAAGGATGCTGTTTCACTATGGGGGTCAGAGCATGGGAAGATTAGATGAACTCCAGATTGGGCAAAGGGAAAAAGGGAAGGGAAGGGAAGGGAGGGACCATGGGAGTAGGAAAGACTGTGGAATGAGATGGACATCATTACCCTAAGTACATGTATGAAGACACGAATGGTGTGACTGAACTTTGTGTACAACCAGAGATATGAAAAAATGTGCTCTATATGTGTAATATGAATTGTAATGTTTCCTGCTGTCATATATAACAATTAAAATTTAAAAAAATGAAAAAAATAAAATAAAATAAATCAGCAGTGTAAAAAAAAATGTGTGAGAGAGAGATATATCTGCTCCAATTCCCAAAGCATTTCATGTTTCAAAATTACTTCCACCTTCCACTATGAAACATGGAAGAAGAAAAGGTGGAGTTTATCTCTCCTGGATGCTGTGAGGAGAACAATCTGATTCATTCATTAAAGTATGTAAGAACCGTAATTCTTTTTGAAACATAAAATATTTCTAAAGTACAATCAATTGGAAAATAGTAAGAAAATAAAAACTTTGGGCCTTACTCAGGGAAGTTATTTTTGTTCTAGACAACTGCCACATAATCAGGCTAATATTGCTGAGGAGTCTACACCTTCCCTACCCTGCCTGGCAAAACTCAAGATCCTCTAGAGACCAAAGCTCTTCTTTTCACAAAAATTGGATTTCAGAGACTCACTGAAACATCTAATACTTAAAATAAACAAAAATCAAACTGACCAATTTCAGGCATAGCAGCCAACGGTGCTTCACAGGAAGGAGCAAAAGGATAGAGATAAAGAAAATAGGAAAAGGAAGCCAAAAAGAACAGGCAAGAAACAGGAAGGGAAGGAAATGGAGAAATGAAGAGGCAGGGGCATCATAAGCCATGAGTGGCCTATCTTGTCTCACTTTCTAAAACTATGAGCAACAATATTTCTTACTTCCACACTTCCACATTAGGAATGAAATGACACTAGAAGAACAATGCATAGTGCAAGCTATTATGAGGCTGTTTTAAGAAGACTTAGATATCTGTACAACAATTGGGACCAGGGAAGATCTCGCTCATACAAAGAAAAATGATTGCATTTCAAAGTCAGTCCTAATCAGCAAATACTGCAACATAATGAATTTCTTCACTTATTTTGGCATGTCCACAAAATATAAAATCACCAAATGAAATTCAACTTGACAGGCACAGTTTTTACCCTCACAAATAAATTCTGTTTTAAGATCCGGGGGACATATTTTCACATTACTGCTGTCAGTTTCTTTATCAATGTTACTGATTTTGATGCCCAAACTATTTTTTTCCTTTTAATTTAAGTGTACAATTTGAAGGAGGTAATAAATACATTTTAAAGTATCTTTTCTGTGGAAAGTTAGTTAGAATAGTTAGAAAAACTTAGATTTCATTGAGAGATGTAAACTAAACATACTGGAAAACATAAATCAAAAGTTCCAAGTCTAAATCAGCTGAATACATTATTGACTCCAAATCATGGATTAAACAAAAGAAATTATATTTGCATTGATGTGTGAATCTGCATCCATTCTTGGTAGCATGTAATATATGCAACTGCTCAGCTCTAGCTGTCCTTGTAGCCACATTACCATATTATTCAAATGTATCTATCATTTATATGTAAATAGACAAGATGAATGGCTTCTTCATAAGACAACAATTTTAAAATGACAAACAGACACAGGCAGACATTAGCAAGATAAAAATGTTTCAAATATTCATTCTTTTACATTTCATCAGGAAAAATGGAAAGTATTTCAATTTTTTTTTAAAAAAAGTATTGTGGCAATTACTAAATGGAATCTTAATATATTCACAATACCAATAGCTATTCTTCTCAATAAACTACACTGATGTCATTTGTATCTTATAAATTACATGTTCTCAGATCCATCTGTGAAAATTGGGATGTTAATTATCATGGTTACGTTCATGATTCCACAGTTAAATGCTGAAGTAGTGCTACACAAATACCATATGTTTTTCCAAGGGAAATGAAGAAAGATTAATTATGAGTTCAAGTCCAAGTCTTCTAGCAATAATACTCTCAACACAATAAGATCATTACATTGTGTGCTAGGCAAATTGGATGCCTTAATTAATAGTTGAAATTCCAACTGAGTGGGAAAACTTTGAAACCTAAATTGTAAGTAACAAGCTTTCTTTAAAAAAAAAAATTAAAAACCTTCATAAGGATGCTTTTGTGAAACCAAGTTATAAGCCCAAAAGAAAGACACTTCCTCTTTGAACTTCCTTTGATAGTGATAGTTTCCTGTTGTTTAATCCTGTTTCATAAACAAAAATTACAATGTATGCTAGTAACAAATAAACTATAAATAGTTGATATGTCACACAAATATTTAAGGTAACATTTTTAATGTATTCAAAGATGTCTTATAGAGCTGCTATTTTATGCAAAATTATGTCTCAAATGCTCATATGAAATATCCACTTCAGTATGACAATGAAAAAACAAAACCTTATGATAAAACTATAGGAATGTTGTTCATATCTTAAAGGTCTGAACTCTTATTTTCCTTACCACATATTCAAAGACCAGGGTCAGGGTCTCCTTGGTATGGATGATGTCATGAAGCAGCACTATGTTCGCATGTTTTAGTCCTTTTAACAGAGAAGCTGTAAAATAAAAAGGGCAGAGAGACAATTCATCAGGGCTAAGAATCAACTAATATGTTGCATTATCACATTGGCCCATTCTCAGATAAATGGTATTTATTTTCCCATGTTCCAAGCCCAAAACCATAAAAATTCAGAATCATGGGATGGAAAAAAAAGGACTTCATTTAGATCAAACCCACCAATTTTATCACCTGCCATTTGTTACTAATCTCTGGTTAGGTTCTATAATGTTCAGAGAATGTAGCTGGTTTGATTTCAATTTTTAAAAATTTTCAAGGTGTGTTTTACTTAGGATTGTTTACTAAGGATGTGGCTTACCTTAGCATATTTTCCATGTGTATGAAATAAGTATTCTGATGCTAGGTGGAGAGTCCCATAAATGCAGCTAGATCCTGTTGTTTCATGATGCTACTGAGTTCCTCTAAATCCTTGCTGCTTTTCTGAATAGTGATACTGAGAAATATTGATGTTCCCAGCTGGACTTACCAGTTTATGCTTTGAGTTCTCTAGTTCTTTCCTTTTTACATTTTCAAGCTCTGTTGTACACTGGATTCACATTTAAGATGGCTGTCTTTTTACGAATAGACCCCTTTATCAACAATGTTGTTCTTCATTCTTGGAAATTTTTTGCTCTGTATCTGCTGTTTTATGTTAGGATAGTAACCCCAATTATTTTTTAATTAGTGTTTACATTGTGTGTCTTTTATGAGCCCTTTTCTATTATTCTACCAATTTCACTATATTTGAAGTGAGCATTTTACAGACAGCATATAGTCAGATCAAGTATCTTTTAAAATTCATTCTACCAATCTGTGTTTTAATAGATATTTTAGGCTATTTGGATTCAATATAAATATTAATATGTGGGGTCACCTATTATTTGCATTTGTTTTTCCCATGAGCACCTTAAGATTCAGTTTTCATTTCTGATTTGATTTTGTCTTCTATATTTCTCAAGAGTTCAATTAACTCATTTCATTTTGGTTTTGACCATTTCCCTGCTTAACTTTTGTATGTCCAATTCCATGTGGGTTTTTGTTTGTTTGCTTGAAAAATCCTCAAAGGATAAATGAGAATATTAATTCATATTACAGTGCTATTTATGTTTTTTTTTTAATTTCATGGTGATCTTTAAGAAGTTTTTATCAGCTAAAATGCATAGATTCCTATTGTCTAATTCTTTATTGCAGTTTTGTATAGATGTGGGCTACTTTATTTGACTCCTACTTATCTAGAGGATAAGTAGGTTTCCTAATTTGGGAATCCTCCGGCTAGTAGTGTTAACAATTTCCCAACTTGAGCAAGGAAAACCTAGTCCTGCCTCTTGAATCCCATTCCTTCTCCCATTCCTTTGATTAAGAAATGAGACAACCCTGACCCTGATAATCAGGCTCTTTCTAATATTGCTCAGCTTTTTTTAAAAAACCAGATGAACAAAAAATCCTTCAGATAAAAATTTCAGTTTCTATGAACAATATCACAAAAAAATATAATTGAACATTTTTTTCTTCTTTTGAAATATATCCCTCAAATATATTGTTAAAAATTGAGCTTTGGGGTTAAAGACATTACTTATTAAATTTGGGTAGTGTATTTAGTCTTCATTCTTCTAATTCTACATAAAAAATTATAAAAAGGGAAATATGTAAAACTTAATACTGTGCAAAGCAAGTAACCTGTCTTTTCAAATGACCAAAACCCTTATTACATTAATGTAAGAATACCTGAGATACTCATAAATACAAGAATTAATTTTAGAAAATATCCTCTTCATTCATAAGAAAAACAAAAATAATCAGAATTATTTCTGTGTATAGCAATAACCATTCTATCATATTATTCAAAGAATAGGAATTTCCTCTCATTACTTTAAAAACGCTATGTCTTTGATTTTGGTTTTTACTTATAAATCTAAACAACCTAATGAGAAAAACAAAGCACATGTTTTTAACTTATTCTACCAAGAACTTTTAATGAGTCATTTATTCATCAAATATTTATTTCTTCAGAATCTAGTTGCTGGCATTGGTGGCCCTGATCAGACTTCAATCCTGTGACAAACACTCAATAACACCTCAATAACATATCTTTAAAAAGAGATTTACAACACCAAGAATGAACCCTAGTGCAGACTACGGACTTGGAGAGAGAGTGATGTAGCACCATAAGCTCAGTGATTGCAGGAAATGTGCCATCCTATTATTTCCTCTCCAAGGAGAAGTATCACTCTCTCTGAGTGATGGTTGGGGAGGTGATGAATTTATGTGGGACTATGAGTTACATGGGAACTCTTTGTACTTTCTGTTCAATTTTAACTGAACCTAAAATTGTTTGAAAAAATAAAGTCTATTAAAAAATCAAAAAGTAAGTTGCCACATTTTGTAATATATTAAAAGAAATGCAAATCTAGGCTACCCAAATTGCATGAATTTGAGACATACAATCACCATATACATTGGAGACTCCCTAGAGAAGCAAAGATAAAGCATATAGACTGTTCAGTTCCAGCATGCTGTTATTATTATTGCTATTCTGTTGTCTTCTCCAGGAAAACCTGCTTCAGGACAATATATTATATCTTGAAATCTAAGATAAATTTTTATAAGCACGAAATTGGTCAAAAGAAGGCCATCGGACTTACAACTGAATGGTGTGGCTACTTACACATGAAAAGACAAGAATGTATTCTCTCTGAAACTGAATCAGCAACATCAATGCAAATTTGAAGGCCAGAGAAGTATAATCCAAATACTGTGAGGAGGCCTTCTCCCTCATCCCACATATTTCTACCAGGGATGAGTTAGTTTTGCACATTTAAAAGCTTCTAGTAAAACTATCAACAAATTTCTGTTAGCTGACCTCTATAGCATACAAGTGAGAAGATAATCACAAAAATTACAATAACATCACTGTGCATGAACTTTGAAAAAGCAGCTACTATACACTTCCCATAGGGCTTAGTATTGTTCAAATAATAATTTACAGTCTTGTCAATTAATTATTCAAATAGCCCATCAGCCTTAAACAATTAAACTTTTATTAAACAGCTAGCATCAGATATTAATCTGGGGAAGGACCTCACATTGGCTCATTTTAAAAAGAATATCAATTTCTGAACTACTCTTCTGAGACCGACTTTCCACAGAGACCATTATTTCAAGCCACAACAGGGTATTTGAAAATGATGGCCAGGTACAGTGCTTAATACCTTGCCTGTGCAGAGGGGGGAAGTTTACAGGTGAAACAAATTAAGGATCTTCTGAGTAGCAGGTTACAACAAAGAAATATTTGTAATTTTATCCAATTTCATTGTTCAAGTTATTATGTAGGTTGTCAAGCTCAGTGAACATCCATCGTTACACATAAGCACTCCAAAAAGGAACTGAAGCTTCCACTTCACTACAAAACCCATACATAGGAAACTGTTTACCTTGAGATTTTTTTCCCCATTTCCCCCATGACTGCCTTTTTTTCTCTAACCACTTACACTTAAATTGTTTCTCATTTCTCAGAGTAATGTCTTCATACCTATCATATGCCACTGCATTTTCCTACAATTTCAGTAACATCAAATTCCTGCCATCATTTATCTTGGGGGGGGGGAAGCATTTTTTTCCTGACAATGTCTAGCATCATAGAAAACAGTCATGTTATTTTTGTAGTATATTTTTGACCACTTTTACATGAAGTCTCAAAGCCTCCATGTTTTCATTCTATTGTATAAAGTATTACAGATTTTATATTTAAGAATACATTTATACAAACTTTTAAAACACATTGGCAGTAAAATAAGCACTGATATCTGAATTTAAAAGCATGGCCCCTTTTTTTCCTGAGATTAACATAATGAATTCATAGCTGGAAAAGGATAAAGCCATTAATTCCAAAGCTGATGGCAGAAAAATGGCATTCAAGGGCAGAAAACAGCCTATGATCTACCAACATTGGGGGAGGTGACAGACAGGGCTGGCATTGAGGCTGCCAACACAGCAGCCACTGGTCACAGCAAGGTGCCAGATACCATGGTTCCTGCTGCCACCAAGGCAAGGGAGCCTCCTGGATGCCAAGTCTGTCCATTGATTAGCACTGACAAATTCTGGAGCCAGTATGTCCCTCTTCATGTCAAACACTGTCAAAACAGTACTCCATGTAATCCTAATGCAATCATAAATACACCACATGTTATCTTCTCATCATTTATATTCAAACCAAATCCTACAACATTTGCGTTGTTATTCCAGCACACACGCTTTCCCCACAAATTTGAGGTAAACATGTGGCAACATTTCAAATTAATTTCACTAGTGAGGATTAAAACAGTACAATTGAACATGATGTAAACGATTTGTAATTAGGCTAACGGTGAAAAATCTTAACAATAATTTTCGGAATATGACATGAAAACAATAAGAAAATGAAAACATTCCATTCATCAAGGTGAYTGTGCCTTTGACAAAGTCCCAGGAGGACAGATGGACACGGGGAGCCTTCCCTCTGGCTGGCAGTAAAGTTCAGATACACACTCATGAGCCATATTCACCCTGTGATCTGCCACTCTTAGAATAAACATCTTAAGTTTCCACTCGGACTTGAAAGAGATGAATTTCATCTAAAATCCAACCCCATCCTGATTAAAATAAATGTTTTTAGTTAATATGGAAAATCAGAGAAAGCTCATTTTATCAGGTTCTCAGTGTAGTAGCCAAAAAGTGTCAACAATATTTTTTTAAAAGCTTTGATATTTAAGTGATTTTCTATATCACCATTTGAGATCCTACTAGGAAAGGAGGGATAATAAATGCACACTACCCATCCTCTCTTGCTTCCTGCTTCAGTGTCTGGAAAGTGCAAATGCCAGCTTCCTTCAGCTTGCTTGTGTCTGGGAGATGAGGAGACTTACACTAATGAAAAGGAGGGCTGTGTCTTTGACCCCGGATTTACTTTTTATCCTGTGTACACACATACATACAAAAAGTCAACTCTGCATCACTGGGGGA